AATATTAATATTTTTTAATAATATTTCATTCTTTTTCATATCTAATAATATTTTCTTATTTAAATTTCCTTTGATTTGTAATCCCAAGTCATCAAATACTCTCCATCTTCACTCATCTATCCATATATAGAATTATGTCCAAAATCAATAGATTATTGTGTTATAAAATCACCATTTTGGTTCCTTATTAAATTAACATTGTATCCATTCTTATTCACAACCAAACATTTCTACTTTATATATTATTAAGGAAAGTAATAATGACAACCACTATAACCACTTTTAACAGCAATTTCTTTTATTTTTGAGTATTATTTATTAGTACTACTCATCTCATAAACATGCATCTACTCTTTTCCATAAGGTTAAAATGTGAATACATTGTCATTAATAAAACATAATCGGTGACCTTTCACTTCAACTGATATCTTTTATATGACATTCCATTTTAACTCCTATGATGACCATTCTATTATTAATATTAAATTATCTTCTCCACAAGATATCACTCTATTCTATTAGTCATTTAAACTTAATCCTAATACATAATGTGTATGATCTGTAATAGTTTATGAACATACCCATTGCTATTACTTTTACCAAAATTTAATTGTCTTATCATCACTTCCTGTTATCATAACATCTTCATTATTGTTCAATATTAAACAATTAATACAATTAGAATGTTCTTTTAATTTCTATTAGGATATCCATTAACTATTTTCATTCATAGACCATAGTATAATCTATCCACTACCATCACCAGATATAAATTGATTTTATTTCTTAATGAAATTTAAAGTTGTAATATAATTCGAATGTTCACTTAATAATTGAGTTTGTTTCAATTATTCTTATTTGAATTCAAATACTTTGATTTACTAATTACAACCAGCTAATACAATTGAATTATCTTTATTAATAGCTATTGCTCTACAATTATCATTCTATTTAATTGAATTATTCTATAATAAATTATAAGTGAATGGGTTTATATTTAATTAATGTTATTATATATTCTATTTTTGTATTTGTTATTATTGATGTTAAGTTTGATTGTTTTTAATTTGTTTATGAATAATTAAATTGATTATAGGTTTGACTTCATGAATTAATTAATTAGTTAATGTTTGTATTGATGGTAAAGATATTTAAGTAATTGGTGGTACAAATTTAACAGTGTTGTGAGGAATAGCTGGATAAGGAACAACAACAAGTTAATCAAGAAAATCATCAATTCTCTTGAAAGAGGTCTAATCATTATCTATAATAACTTACATCTAATTATTATTAAACTCCTTAAAGACATTCTCCAACTTTATTTTACAATTAATCAACAATCAATTTAGTATTCATTTAATTTATTATTAACATATTTTATTAAACTTTACTTAAATTTTTTATATAATAATACATAAAATTAATAATCTTGATAATTTAATTGATTTATAGAGATAAATTAGACTCTAATACTTAATTGAAGCTATTCGATCAAATTTTTTTAATATTTTCCATCAAAACTGCATTCTTAGGCCTAAACCTTAAACATTTTTCATAGTTTATAAAATCTTTCCTTTATACCTTAATGGTTTATTTTTGAAATAGTTATCTATATCAATTATTTTTAACATTTATCATTTCTCTTTATTGTCTTAATTGTGATCACTGGAATTACATAATTTTTTTATTTCAACAAGTTCTTGCTTAATTAAAAATATAATTTATATTAAATTATTTTAGGACATACATTTTTAAAAACTATAAAATGCTATTCAAAATCAAAAAAAAAAAAAAAA